ACCCAGCCAAGATAGTGGCTTAGGTGGAAAAAAATATGCAGCTGCCTATCAAAATGGGAGCCCAGAGAGTCTAGTCAAAGATTCCAGAAGAGATTCCCTGCCCTGAGAAAAGCCCAGCTGTTGCCCAGTAGCATGGCTTGCCCATCCAGATCAAGGAGCTAACGATTGCACACACTGCACATCCTAGTACAGCAGAGCCCGGTGAGGAGTTAACAAGGCTGCCAAAATGACCTGTTTGATCCAGCCAATGCTTCTCCCTACTTGGAGGTGGCACTGCTGAACAAGTGAACAACTCATCCATCACTACTGCCATATCTCCCAGTCAATCTTGTGAAGACTGCATTAAAAAAAAGGGCATCAAAGACCTGCATGCAGTTTTAGGGTTCTGAGTTCCCTAGCATGAATATGTTCCCTGCACATCTACCTCTACCTCTCTATAACCGTACTTTAAGTTTGTATGGACAGTATACCCTGGTGTTGGGACAAACACTGTGTAAACCACCCTTCATGCTATGCCATCAGTAAATTGCCTTCAATAAGGAACTAAGTTCACTGGCTGGGAAGCATATATACTAATGTGGGCTCATGAGCTGGTTAAGGGGTTAGTACTCATGGGTTTACCCCTAGAACTCTGAAAGCAATAACAAGCCAACCTGCCAGCGTGAATGCACCCACAAGAAGGTGTTTTAAAGTAGTTTACCCACACCCACAGGTATCAATGCTTTCCTTGGTTTTAACTCTAATTCAACTGAGCCACTAAAATATGACATATGTAGACAAAAACTATTGTGTTTTAGAGAAAGTTGGCAGATAACAGCAATAATATCTAAGGTTTTAGATCAATCTGATCTGAGGGCAGTTTAGCACTGCAATATTATCCTGGCTAGATTCAGGTATAGTCAAGCAGAAAACCAGAAAAACACGCTTAGTTTTGCCTAAGCATTTCACGGTTTAGAATATTTAAACTGATGCCCAATTTCTTCAGTGAAAGATCTCTTCTACCTATAGACTACTATGCATCACTGTGGTATTGATATGACTCTAGGTCCTCAAAAGCTATGCCAGCAGAAGCTCTGGCAAGTTCTACTCACCTGGAAAGGCCTTATGTCTGTACTGAAAAATGGACCGTGATCATGATAGATAGGGACTACCTTATTTTAAATGCAGAAAGACTCTTCAACAAGATACTGACCTCTCTGGTTTAAAAAGGCAAAATAGTCAGACCCAGAATGTGAAGAAGTATCATCTCTATTTATCTCTTCAATAAATTTTTCAAGATTCTGGTGATCCCAAATACTTCTGAGCATCACTTCACCCAACCTCATTAGTTGCAGGTATACTTCATTTTAATCAAGTGATATGTGAAATTTCACTCATAAATTATAAATTAAGATCACAAATTTAGTATTGTAAGGGACCTCAGAGGTCTAGTCTAACCTCCTCATTTTAGAGATGAGGAAAACTGAGGCCCAAAGAGGTCCAAAGTCACACATATAGTAAGTTTAGGAGAAAGAATGTGAATGCAGGTTCTCTGACTCTAGAGCCCATGCTTTCTGTACTCTCTATCACTACTGCCTACTTCACAGAATTACTTTATATAAAAGTACTTATTTTCTTTACAAAAGGATCCACTAGATCATTCTTTGAAATGGTGAACTCATACTACTGGTGGGCCATTTGCTCCTCCTTGGTTTTCGAAGAGGACCAATGACATCACCACGATGTCCTGGGTGATGTCTTGACTTGTGTGTAAACTGGATTTAAGTGAGGCAGAGTTGCACAAAGTTGTGAGCCTCACACTCTCTCCTGGGGTCACTTAAGTCCAGTGGCAAAAGTGTAATCATGGTATGTGAAATAGTTCATGCACAGACTATGTGTACAACAAACTTAAACTGAATTTAGTAGAATGGGGGTGGAGGGTAGGGAAGTCTAATGAACTCACCGTGGCATTTTAAATGACTCATAAGTTCCTTTTCAGGACGACATCTATGTTTTAAAATAAGGGGGTATATATCTTTTATTCATAGGTACAAGTTGCTATTTACATGTTTCCATTACATGCTTTATAAATTTATCCTGAGTACTTTTAAAAGAAGGTATTATTTGCAATTTTTCCTTTTCCTCAGGCCAGTACATTCATCATATGAGAAACCTTGATTTTTGTTTCATCATTTCCAAACATCCGATTAGCCCAATATGAGCTGTGAAATAGACTCCTGATAGAATAAGTGGAGCATGATATGAAACAGAAAAATCTGATGGCATAAATAATAGAAAAGAAACAACCCTTGGAGCAAGCCAGCATGTTCCAAGTTTGCTTTAAGTTAGCTGCCAGTGATTTTGGCTAGATTAATACAGAATGAATACTAGAGATTTAAAAAATAAACACACAAAAAAAGTAAACAACCAACTCTGGAATTTTATTATTCTAAGCCAAGGAGGATAAATTCTACTGGTCTTCACAATCTCCACAACATTAAAAGGGAGTTTACATTTCCTTGCCTTTCCCAATTAAAACCAGAGGAGTAAGTGATATTGGGTAACAGTCCCACCTTTCACTGGATCTCACTGATTAGTTGGGAAAGTGAACTACTGGAAGAGACCTCAGATCCCCATGTCCAACCCTCTCAGTTTACAGACAAGGACACTGAGGCTCAGGAAAGTGGAGTGAGTTTCCCAGGGTTATACCAGGAATAAACTGAGCCAGGTCCTCTAACTCTAAATCTAGCACTCTTTCTACAACCTTTTCAGAGAAGTCAGCATTTACTTTAAACATTTTGCCACTTAACTTTCAATCAAAAAGGAAGCAAAAATACAACTATTTAATTTTTTAAATGCAAGTGAAAATGCACATCAATTTGTAAAATGTTAAACAGCCTATTACCTTTTTTCTTCCCTTTGTTTTTTTGTCTCTCCGTACACCTGTATGTGGGTAAAACTCTAGCTGTCTGCCCCTCATAAAATTTTATGTCTTTCCAAATTTCCTTTCATAGAAAGAAATAAAATGATACAAAATTTATATGGAAAAGAACATATATTAGAGTTGGAGGGATGGGGAGGAAGGAGAAAGGTCAAACTTTCACAACCAGGTTTTGATTACACTATAAAAACAAAACTGACACCGAACAAAACAATAAAAAAGCTAAACAGGAGAAGAGACAATCTAGAATTAGACCAAAGGGATTCAATAGATGAGTGTCTGAAAAACCCAAGGATTACAAAACGCAGGGGAAGGGATCAAGAGAAATTTGTAAAAATTGGTAGAATTAGATCCCATATAGAATTTTCCCCCTTTTTCTGCAGTACTATATTATATAATACCATAATAGCAATTAGATCCATTATCTAAATATCTTAAAACACATCACAAAACATCAGGAAAAAAATGAAATTAGTTGAAATTGTGGTGAGAAAGAAGTTTTTTTTTCCCTAACAAATGAAAGATATTGTAGGAGACAAAAGAAATTTTATTATGTAGAAATAGGATTTTCACATAAAAACAAAATCCCAAGTAAAAAAGCAATGGATTAAAAAAAATCTTTGCACTGAATGTACAGCTGATAAAAATGACTTCAAAAACCTATAAGAAATTCACACATATTTATGTGTAAAAAAACTTTAAAGAGGCAGTGCTGGAAGGAAATTGTTAATAATCACCTAAAAAAACACTTGAATGCTTAAAAAATTAAATGCAAGTTAGAATGGTGAAGTAATATATATATACCCTTCAAACTAGTAAAGATAATTAAAATTATAAAAATTCAATATTGGTAGTATTGTGGGCACACTGGCTGTAGTATTACACTATGGGTGGAGCAGAGAACTGGTGCAATCTTTCTGAAAAGCAAATGGCAAGAGTACCCTTTGAGCCAGTAATAGTAGGTGAATATCCTAATGATGTTATTTAAATTAAAAAAAAAAAAAGGCCCTCACTGTGCAAAATGATAAAATTTGGGGGAAAAAAAGCCCCACCTAATCGCAAACAGTCCATAGGTACAGCTACTGGAAACAGCAACATAAATTCATCCTGTTTCAATAGAACAGATCAACACCCTTTGAAAATAAATAAATAATAAACAACCAAAATAAATAATATGGAAGAGTTGAAGCAGAATCAGAAGAACATACACATCCACTACCATTATTACTCAGTATCAATAAAAAAACAAAAAAAATTTAATTATTAGATATCAGAAGAGGACACAGAAGTAAAGGAGACATTTTTGTTAAAGTATGTATATACACATACATACATATAAATAATAAATAGTTTGTCATTTGTGATTGTGTGTTTTAATTTTTATTTTATTTGAATGTTCTGTTTGATGATCACTAAGTTTACAATCTATTTTTAAAAATTAATTTCTATTTCTTGACTCTTTTGTATCCCCAGCGTTTAGCATTGTGCCTGGCACACAGTGGGCGCTTAATAAATGTTTGTTGATTTTATTATGCCATTTGCATTGATATGCCACATATTCTGCCATCCACAATGCTGGTGGACGTTTATGCGGTTTACAATCCTCTGAAAGGAAAAACAGTAAGCAGCTACTATTTAAACAAAGCTTTCCTCCTTGCTATCATCACACACCTCATTTTATTTTCTAACAGCGATATCTTGAATATACTATACTTAAGAAACTAAATACTGAAGATACTAAAGCCATTTTGTAAACAGAAATGAAGGCGTCCTCAATACACCAAACACCTTTTTTGGAAAAGCGATCCTTCTTTTCGAAAGACTCGATAAGCGGCACCCAGACCACAGCTAGCCGGCGGTCAGTGAGTTACCTTCCAACAGCTGGACCCCCCAGCTGAGGGGAGATACACCAGTCTCACCTGCACCCCCAAACTGGGATCGGGGGTCCAAGTCTGTGCCAGGCCCTCCTTGCAAAGTCCCCAGCCCCAGTACAATGACACACGGGCATAAACGTAAGCGCTTAGAGATCGAGCCAGGCTCCGCCAGCGCCGGTGCCCTCCCTCCCCCGCCCCCAGCTGACCTCGCAGGGCAGCAGTTGGGTGCCGGGCTCCTCCCGCCGAGCGATCCGACAGAACACGCACTTGCGGTCGTAGCCCTCTCCGGTCACACAGGCGGCCGCCCCTTCATCCGCGCCGGAGTCGCTCACGGCGGGCGGAGAGGGTGGCGAGTCGCTGCTGGGGAACCCCTGCTCCCCGGCCATGGCAGTGGCCCAGGGCTGCCCGACGACGCTCTGAAGCTGGAGGAGGCCGCCGCAGAGTCGGCCTCGGCCCCGCCCCTGCGAGGCCCCGCCCCCTCCCGGGCTCCGCCTCCTTGGGCGGTGCGTGGCATCGCCTCCCGCTGAGCGCGAGGAGCTCGGGCTCTGGTGCCCGCTTCCGCGTGAGGACTGCGTCTGGTAGGGGGCGGGGTAGGCACGCGAACAGGGCTGCCCCCTGCTGGGGCCGCCGAACCTCCCCAGCGGGTCACCCGCTGTTTTGCGAAGAATGTCGAGGGCCCCAGAAATGAGGTCACCAAGGAGAGTGGAGTCTGAAGGAAACAGTGCTGTCATCCTCCTCATCCTGGCTGTAATGCACCAGATGGGGGATGTGTCTCTGCCCTGTTCCTTAATTTGTTTTTTAAGTCATAGGCATTTGGCACAACAAACTTGCCAATTGTGTTACCATATAGTATAGCAATTTCAAATTAAAAAAAAATTGGGGGCGGGAGGGGTGGGGAGAGAAGGTTTGTGAGATTTTTAAGCTGCCTGTCGCTTTATGCAACTGGAATCAGGAGGTTTTAAATTCAAGAACCCAATTTCTGAAATTGTTTTCAGTACAGATGCTTTCCAAGGTTTTTACCCTTATTAATAAAAAATAATTAAGATTAGTAAATAAAAATTTAATAATAATTCTTTATTAAACATAATTTTATTAATAATTAATTTTGAAAATTCTAATCCTTTGAGAAGGTGGGATTGCACAGGTGTGGGATTTTGCATGTGTCATATCTTCGATTTATCAGCTTTGCTGAATTTCTTTTCTGTAAAGGTCAGTTTACCGTGATACATGAGAGCTAGTGTGACAAAAACACTAATTCGACTTACCCTCTTCAAGGCACGAAATCAAACTCAATTAGGCAAAACATGCAAACAATACCCTCTAAGAACTAACCACCAACCTGAGCCTTATTCTGGTAAGCTTCTTTGACACTGGACATAGTACAAAGTTCCCTCTCTTCCCACCTTGAGGCCTGTCTCCCTCTAAGGTGCAGAGTGGTTGAGGTGGTCTTCTGCAAGTCAATCAGCTCTGCCCTTGTGCAACAGGCTTCCCCCATTACTCTAATTTTAAGCACATTGGGAAGGTAGACTCAGTTATAGTCCAGAAGCTAGCTAATATCTGGGGCCTTCCCATGGCTTTCTTATGGCTGTAGATAGGGGTGGCACTGTTATTTACCACATAATTTGATGGGTAATTGATTATGTAAACTACTGGTTAAGTTGTTTGTATTTCTACTGATGTTCTGTTCTGTCAGAGGGTACACATAGCTTTATCAGTTTAAGATACATACGTTGTTTACAGCATCATACCATACAAGTACTTACCCTACTGAAAAAAATAAATTACAGAAAAACAATTTATTCAGAACAACTCAATCACAAAATTGCAGCAAGAGTTAAAAGGAAAGTGATATGTACTTTGCCAATGTCCCAGGCTATTGGCCCAACAGATGGGACAAGTCATTATCCATCTTTGTTGTTTTCTGATTGTTACCAGAAAAGATGTGCTTTAGCTTGGATAGTGTGGTACCAACATCGCTCATCATAGCTGAATTTTGTTGCCTTTTCATTTATGTTGTTATGGGAAGTAAACATAATATGACATTATCTTGGTTCTTCCTAGTTCCTTCTTCCTTAATTAGTCAGATATAAGTCCTCCTTCATTTCCTGGAATTCTTCATTGTCCCACCCTTATTGGCTATAATTGAAAGGTCAGATGGGATGGGTGTTGATACATAGGCCAGGTAGGTGGGAAGCTGCCTGACACAGGGCCAGAGATTGAGTATGTCAAGGGGAATTCCTGTGAGCTGCCTGGAAGCTAGAAGCAGGTTATAAGCAGGTTTACTCAGCACATACTCATGACCAGAAATTGCTTGAGCAGTGAAAGGGATAACACTTTGTGGGTTGTTTTGGCCATATAGGGAGACATATGGGGCTAGAATGGTCCCTGCTATTATAAACATCAATCCAGTTGAAAGGCTGACCCTCTTTCATATTACCAAAATCCTTCTATGGTCAGATGAATTTGAGCCAGAACATAAAGCAGGCTAAGGAAGCAAGGTCAGTATTCTCCCCCTACCTAGCCTGATTTCCAATTGTTATTGTGTATATCTGCCCATAGCAAAACCAGAATATTATGATGCTGTATTTTGGCCAGCAAAAACCTCAGGATCCTTATATGTACAACCATGCTTTTTCTTAAAAAAAAATTTCTGAACTTGACAAACACCAAATAAATTGGGTATTTCCATATGCATACAGAAATAGAAAATTGTACACTAAACTGTAAATCTCTATTGTGTACAGTTTGCTTTTCTTTTAAAATACATAACGAATTCAACATGTAACTTACTGTCTTGCATGTGTGTGATTCTTTCTGGCTTTCTGTTGTCCTCTGTATATTTTTTAATGCCTCATTGAGGCTCTTTTCTTTTTTTTTCTTTTTCCTTTTGGCTACCCTATCCCTGGTCCTCCTCTCCCTCCCACCAACTCTCCAAAGTTCACTAAAAAAAAAAAAGAGTGAGAGAAAAAAAAGAGAAGGAAGCTGGGTTTTTTTTTTTTGAGGGGGGTTGGGTTTTTTTGTGAGGAGTTACTCTAGGGTTACTTTCCTTGACTTGGCACAAGACAAGAGAACAATGGAACAATCAACAAACTCATTCTTCCAGCCAGAACTCAAATATAGATTTCCTTTTTTCAGATATATTTGTAACTTGTTTAGTAGCTTGACTGGAAATCAGCACCCCACTTTATACTCCTATCTGAGAATACCTCCTGGACAGTCAGAGTTGTTAAGTGGTGGTGCCCACATGCAAATCCTGTTGCTAGAGGAGGCTAAGGCTAGTGAACTCTGGAATTCTGAGCTGCAGTAGATCGAATGCAGAGTGTGACTACAGTATGGTGAGCCCTGGGGAGCAGAGAGCTAACAGACTGCCTGCGGAGGGATGAACCAGCCCAGGGTGGGAAAAATGGAGCAGGTCAAAGTTTTAGTACTGATCACTATTGGGATTTGACCTGTGAGTATAGGTCAGACTGTGTCACCTCTGCCCTCATTCAACTCTAATGGTTCTTTATTACTTCTAGGATCAATATAAACTCCTTTGTTTGGCATTTAAAGCCCCTCTCAACCTGTCCGCTTCTTGCCTTTCCAGTCTGTTTATGTATTGTACCCCCTCTCCCCACTCCCTTCAAATATTCAACATTGCAGCTAAACTGACATACTTGCTGTTTGTCACACATGACAGATCCTGCATTTCCTACCTCTCTGCCTTTGCTCAGGCTATCACCTCTGCTTCTTGGAATCCCTGTCTTCTTTCAAGACTCAGCTCAAACACTTCAAGAGAAAGAAGCATAAACACACTTCTTCCTAAAGAAAGAAGAAAATGAAGCAGAAAAGACCAAATGTAATCTAACGAGGAACTGTGTCATATGTGTAACAGGAGGCGCTTCCATGTGCATTGGGCACTGTATGAATCGTATTTTGCATTTCTTTTTCATTTACATGTTGCTGATCCCCTGGATCTAGCTCTCCATTTAGCGGTTTGCAAGTGGGTGAACATGTTTTACAGGGAGAGCCCAGTTCCACTCATCAGCCCCTCACTCATCACTGTTCTACTTATCCCCCTATACCAACGTCTCTCAATATTACATGTTGAATTATAAAGACTTTTGTTGGAAATTTTGTATATTGATTGAAGTTGGTTGACAATATGTAAGAGAAAAAAATGTTCTTCTTACATCATCTCCTCTTATCTCTAGAGTAGCCTGGGCAATGCCTTTTGTTTGCTTTATCAGGAGGATTCTAGGTAGTCCCCATTTTTCACCATAATTTGATTCAATAGAATGAAAACTCTGTAAGGCCAAGTAATGTCTCACTTTGCTCTTTGTATCTCCCTGTGCTTAATGCAGTACCTGGAATATAGTGGGTGATTAATAGATGCTTATTGATTGATTGATTTTGGAAATGACATCATAAAGTAGCTCATTGTAAAGTAGAACCCATTTTCCCATAGAAACATTGCATTCCAGAGTAAGAACTTAAGTAAAATTTCAAGTAAATCATAGCTGTGAACAATTTGTTGTTATAGCACTAATATTCTTTCTTTTTTTATACTGTTAACTATACTATAAAAACAAACAACTTTGCAAGTCAAGAGCTATGATCAATACAATGACCATCCATGATTCCAGAAGACCAATGGTGAAATATGCTATACACCTTCTAAGAGAGGTGACAGTCTAAGAAGGATTCATATTTTTGTAAGTAGCCAATGACAGAATTAGGGCAACCAGATGGCATAGTAGATAGAGTAGAAGCCCTGGAGTCAGGAGGACCTGAGTTCAAATGTGACCTCACATACTTACCCTATGTGACCCTGAGCAAGTCACTTAACCCTGTTTGCCTCAGTTTCCTTATCTATAAAATGATCTAGAAAAGGAAATGGCAAACCACTCTAGTATCTTCAGCAAGAAAACCCCAAATAGAATGACAAAGAATTAAAAATGATTGAATTTGTTTTGCTTAACTCTGGATATTTTTTAATTACAAGGAATTTGTTTTTCTTTTCTCTGGAGTTTTTCCAATGGGGTTAGGAAGATGGAAGGGAGAGAAAATACATTTCTGTTCATTAAAAATTTTAAAAAGGTAGAATGGTGAGAGGAGTGCTATGGATGTGGAACTTTGCATGTACTACCAGATGAGGTCACTGTATTGTTAGTTTTAACCTTTGTTTTGCTTTGTTCTTTCTGCAGACTACATTGTTGACTTATCTCCAATGGACTTTCTCTACCATGCCATAGAAACTTCTTCACCATGGAAGCTCATCCCGTTCCTGGACTACTCACATTGAAAGTGCTCTCTGCCTCTGAGACCTCACCTTTTGATTGGTTGGTTTTCCCCAGAACCTCTAATTTAAGGAGGAAGTCCAGACCAAAGACACTTTTATCCCTAAGCTGCACTACTTCTTCCTGCAGCAGCACCCCACT